TTTTTGCATTCATTTTCAGTGAGCTTCAGAAGAGTGGGATAAAGTCTTGGTGGTTAATTTTGTTCATTTCTTGTTTTTTACAAGAAAATCTGATTTAAATTTGCTTGGAGCTGTAAGATGGTAGGCTCAAAAAAGGTCAGTAGTAGTCAAATACCATGTCACTGGTGGAGAACTAACTTGAGAAGGCCGCATACCATATTTCATTTTTGAATTTGATTCCCATTACAAGCCATGCAACTTCAATGACTCCGCAACCATACCAAATTTCTTAAGGAAGCGTATGGCATTATTATTTTTCTTCCCCACCAGTAACATGGTGGCAAGCTAAAATAGCAGCTGACATTGCTTTTTTGAGCCTCTGTGCTACGAGGTCAAAATATGACACAAAACAATTTTTTCAAGGTGAAATTGGGCCCAAAGACTGATAAAATGTTCAAACATTGATAGTTGAGCCATAAGCTGCAATTTGAAAATGGTTCAATTTTAGACTACAGTTCCCCTCTTAGATGAAGAAAAGGAGGTACATATGTCACAGTTGCTACATCCTGAAAAAAAAAAAAATGTTTAAGTTGGTGGTTTGCAATCTATTTTAATTGTACCCATCCCTTACTATCCTCAATTTTATTTGCTTATTCTTTCTATCATTTGGGATTGTGCTTACATACAAGATAATCTCATTGTTTTTCCAAAGCATTTCCTCCTTAAACTCTAACATCAGTATGCATATTGTCCATACTGTTCTCTATATATTTCCTAAGATGCTGACAAGGATAATTTGCTTAACGATCAGGAGTTTGATAATGATCATTTCCTTTATTCTTGCAGCCCTAATGTGTGATTCAGGGGTGATATTGTAAGGAGAAATAAGATGTTAGTCAGTTGTAGTGGTTTAAGGGTTTAGGGCAAAGTCAAAAGTTGCATTATTTTTGCGAGAAAATTTAACATTCTAATTTTCTTTTGTATGGGAGTTTACGGTAGCTTTACAAATGAACAGATTTTTTGTTACTCTTGGCTACTCCCAAATAAACATGAGAGTAGACACCAACTTTGCTTCTGTATTTTTGTTTATCAGGAGTCATTGATATGTTTGGAACAGCTGGGGGCTTGATAGAATTCAAAGCCTCCCTTCTGGCATCACATGGGTTTGCTGTCCTTGCACTGGCATACTTTGCATATGACGACCTACCAAAGTATCTTCCTTTCTGTGAGTTGGAATACTTTGAAGAAGCTGCTGACTGGCTTGTGAAACATCCTGCTGTTGTACACCATGGAATTGGTGTCATGGGTGTGTCAAAGGGGGGAGAAATAGCATTGATGATGGCTGCACACAGAGCAGATATTGTCAAAGCAATTGTGCCAATTTCTACTTGTTTGGTAATAAATGCCTCTGCTTTTAAGGTCAGGGATCAGTTATCAGGGATGTATTTTGATAGCTCTAAAGCAACTATGAACTCAGATGGAGGGTTTATCTTACGTGACTGAGTCCCAGTTGATGATTTCAACCAATTTGGACCTTCCTTTGTGATCCCAGTGGAGAAAATTAACTGTCCAATGCTGATCATTTGTGGCGAAGATGACCAGAATGTTCCAGCATTTGAAATGTCACAAGAAATTCATAAACGGATGAATTCCTGCAGCAAGGGTGATTTGTGTTGTGTGTTGAGTTATCCAGGCACAGGTCACCTTATTGAACCTCCACATGCCCCACACTGTTTCGCATCTTATCACAAAAGTTCTAAGGTAAACTTTGTATGGGGAGGAAATGCAAGGGACCATGCAAAAGCTCAGGAAGACTCTTGGCAGAAAATTAGAGAGTTTTTTAGCAAGAATCTTGGGCAGAGCCTTGACAGTCATCTGTAAAAACGTTTTGTGGAATGAATTTACTGCAAACAATTGTAAACATGCATGCTTGCCATCAGTGTTTTGATGTCACTTTCTCTCATGATCACATTCTGAAAGACTTATTTGACTTAAAGATCAATGTTATTAATTAACCTAAGGCTGACAAATTGTCAAAAATCTAAATTTCTAAACTGGCAGAACCTGGCATCCAGGCCACTATTTTCTTTGAATGTTCTACACAATCCTTGGTAATTTTGACATTTGTAATTCTGTAAAATTCTACATCATAGACTCCCAATCCATGATTGTTGAGCAAAATCCTCTCATCTGCAAATCTAGTCCTTCACTCATAGCTCCTCATCATCATCATCATCTTTATTTGCCTTATTTTAACTATTAAAAAATAGTTAATTACAGCGATAACAGTTGGAAGGCGAGGAGACCCAAGAAGCCACCAGGCTTATGGGAGAGCCACCTCACTTAGAATAATAAATTAAGTAAAGAAAAAGTGCTGTGAATGTGCAGCTTGGCCAATTCAGTGATTATTTAAGTAAAAACTCTTGCAATTTTGCTTTAAAGCTAAGAAAGTTTGACGAACGAGTGACAGAAATAGGGAGAGAGTTCCAAATTTTAGGACCTTCGTAGAGAATTGTAAACTGCTTGACATTTATACAGCACAAATGCGTTCCATAATTACTGGCTGTTCTGGTACCATAGTTGTGAATTTGGCTATTCCTTACAAAAAGATGAGGCATTTTGAAGTGGGCATTAGACTCTACAAAAGTACGTGACTGTTCATTAAAGGCCAAAAGGTTATTATTTTGACAAGAGTAACCAGTGACATGCTATCGAGTAACCAGCAGAACTACTACAGTTGCTGGCACTTTTTTAAACCCCTGAACTAGTGTGTAATTTAGCTAGTTCAAGTAGCCACCAGTGACATTATCGATGTAGTTTTTAAAGTAAGGAAAAGAAAGACAAACAAATAGGAATAATCTTCTGGTGCCAAATGTTGAAAATGTGTAAAACACTTAAATGTTTGTCCCTTAATTTTCAGAACTGAAGTAGCAAAATTGATTCCAGGCAAGTAGAAAATCTAACCTCCAGAATTCCCCTTTAGACTGGAGCGACACGCGACTTTTGAGAACAGAACATCGCATCTGAGCAACAAAGATCCATATCTGACAGGAATAAGAGATTATTTCAAGGATTTTAAATTCGAGACTACCTCCGCCTCAACAATGCAGCATACAAATGCAGATTTTAGTGATATTTTACCTTCTCAGTAATTAATTTATCTCATAAAAAAAAATAAATTTATGTATAATTCGTAATGCACTAGTTACCAATCTTGTCAATATTTTGACATTTTGTTTACATTAGGATTTTTGTCTTTAATTATAAAAACACGACCCCACAAGCTTGTAGCTTTAAATTTTTATTGTTTAAATAAAGGTCATCCATCCACTTTTGTGGTGCTTTTCTCAGTTGACAGAGTGCAGAAGTTCTCTTTTCTGTGATATTGTTCCAGAAAACTGAACAAAGGGTCTTTTTTCCCAGGGAAGGCATTGGTGACAGATGTGTATTTGGAATATCAAGACTTAAGAAGGGTTCATACTCAGCCAGGAAAGGAAACTGAAAATAGGGCTAGCAAAACCCTGCGAGGTCTTGGTAAGAAAAAGACACTGCTATAAATACTATGCATTGGTGCTGTTCTCTATACATTTCCCAAGATGCTTAAAAGTAAATGTTGTTTAAAAATCAAGAGCTTCTTTAGTTGGTGATCATTTCCTTTAATTTCTTCAACTTTGTGTGTCAGGGGAAATGCTTGTCACTCTTGGGAGTGAAAAGGTAAGATGAGAAATTTACCTTTTTCTAACATTTCAGGAAGGAAAGACAGTCTTCTGATCACAGGGTATCAACAACTAGTATTGGGATTCCATGGCTACCAAAAATTTAGCTAGTTTAACTTGTCAGGATCTTGTTCAGTGTAAGTGAACCAAAAAGTGGCAATTAAAAAAAACAGTGCACTAAGCAAGAGGCTAAAACAAACTCATGTTGGTTGTCTACAGTGTGAAAATTGTACGGTTACTGGACATTAACAGAGTTCTTCAAGGATAAAGGGTAAAAATTGTTCAATCAGTTAGGTTTATAAAAAATAAATTAGCAAATGTCCATTCTTTTCAAAAACCTTCACTCCTTCCCCCTTCCTGAAAAGAAAAGGATTTCCTTTCTGTAAGCATAAGTCACACCCTTTTAAATTTAAAAGGAAGTGACATTGGGCAACAAAAGACAGACGAGTCAAGTTGAATCAGTTTACATTTTAATGATACAAATACTGAGCACTTGAAGTTGAATGACAGCTGACCATATCACTGAAAAGGAAAAGAGACACAAAGTAAGAAATGATGGACAGCATAAATCTATTAGTTCAGTTAGTTTGAAATGTAATAATCCCATGATAATCCATCCCCATGAAAGTATATGCCATCCAACCTTGTAAGTAATTTTCTTCTGATTATTAAGAAACAGAAAAATATGACAAATGAATCATTTTTCTCCCTTATATTAATTCAAAAATGAAACAAATAAAAATTTGTCAGAGATTAGCAAAACCGACTAGACTAACCTTCTTTCCTGCTGCACCAACTTTAGACTTCTTTGTTCCTCGAACCTTCTTCATTCTGTTCTTCTTTTCCTTTCGCTGTTTTCGTGATGACTTGGGCTTTTCATAAAGTCCATGCTGGACAGGTGATGTAAGAAATAAAAATGGTCAGCAAACCCTCACAACCCAAACCAAACTTTCCATTCAAAGTTTCCACTTTAAAACTTGACTATTTTTATGCTGGAAACTACAGTTTGCCTTCCAGAATTTTTTTTTCCCCTTGACATGCCTTTGTGATTTTTTTTTTTTTCCAAGCAATAAAATAGCCTTGAACTCTTACATAATAATGTCAACAGCCTCAAAATTGTAACCTTGCTGATTTAATGCAACTCTTTCTAATTTGGTTACCTAACTTAAACGAGGCCATGTTGATGTTTACAAATAAGGCCAACAAATTAACTCCGAGAGAACATGTAATGGTTCAAGAGCAAAAATGTGCCTTTGACAACTTGCAGATCCTTATTAAACTTTCGTAACAATTCTGTTTTGTGTTGTTGTCAGTCATGATTGCTGCAGCTATCAAAATAAACCTCACAAAACTAGACACAAAAAGGCAATTAGAAATAAGGATCTTAAGTGAATATAGTTTATATCTGACCACTTGCAGCCCCGAGGCTGAATTACGGGTGCAGTTTAAGGTTGAGAACAGATGACAGCATATCAGGCGCCTCAGGCAGCCGCT